GACGCCCCCACCTGTAAAAGTAAGGATATGAGAAGGTCCGTAATCAGTAAGTTGATTACGCCTGGACCAACCGTACCATGGTCCATTATGACAGTACGTTGGATATTACCGGACGCCAGGTATAAATATCCTGGAATTTAATCCTCACATCATGGCAACCTCGGTTGCTTGCGGAGTTCTCCGGCCCTCGTGTCCGGTTTCAAGGGCTACCTTAGTGGCTTATGTTACGTCAGTGATTGTGGGTGAGTAAAGTGTTAACTAACGAAACACCAGCTGTGCTTTGTGGCTGACCGAGGTTGACTGAGCCCAGTCATTCGGTCAATTTTGTTCATTTTAAGTCGCATAATGGGATTTTTGTCCCATTTTCCTACATTTTGTAGTCATATTAGTTCCCTCTAAATAGTTTATGATTGGAGCATAGTCGCCACATAATTGCAGTTTCAATTTCACCACATGATCATGTGTTTCATGGTATCACCAAAATTTCTTGTAAAGCTCACGATCATCCGATCGAACAATCAGATCTCTTGGACCTTTGTTTGCAAATGAAGAGATATTAATATCTTACTGGAATTAACAAATCTATAAACATAATTATTGCGTTAAAACGAATTGCAAGACGTCAACTTTATTAATTTTGACTTCATTTTTCCGCGTGTTTAGGGTCGAGCCGCAAAAACGCATCTGTATCGTTATTGGTATTTGAAATCGTTCTAAACAGATAAGATCACCTGCGGCTTCTATTTTATTTGCCACCTGGTCATCATCAACAATCGAATCAAGCCCTTCCACCCTCTACTAACGTCAGCTATAACCCTCCCACCCTGCTCTCACATTCTTGAAGTTTATGTTCGAACCATAAAGTTAAGTTAATGAATTTGTTTACTCTTGTACGTTTTGTCGGATTTCTCAACGATTATCGTATTTTAGGGCCACTCACAAAACATTTTCGGGCAACATGCCAAAAACGGTCATTTTCTGATTCTGCAAAAATGCATATTTTTTGCAAAATCTTTTTTTTTGAGGTGGACACTTCTGCTGGTCGGTTGTTTGATACACGTTTGTAACCAAGAGCTTGCCAACGTGTAGCAGGCGGTTGTGATTGTTTTTTATGATTTTCCCATGAATCCATGAGTGTGCATCTAAGCTTTGATGTTTGCCGGTCGTTTTTTTTTTTGGGCCCATAGTGCAGTTTTTTAGAGGGCAAATTATTCGAGAGCCCTAACTTCGGAACACCCATCCGCAGACCCAAATTGATAACACACATGTGTTTGATAGTGATACTGATATTGTAAATAAGAAAAGTTTTTCCAATATGGTATTCAGGAGACCCTACTTCGGCCAATAGGGCTACACCAGAGTGTCGTAGTATTCTAAAGCTTTCAGATTCTTCAGGTATCCCGACATAAATCATACGTCCACGACGCACATTGCGTAAGAAATGCCCTTGACATTGCAGACTCAGTGAGGTATGTTTGCAGAGCTGACATGCCGCCTCCTCCCTTGTCGAACGTCATCCAGCACTCAGCACGTCAGTCATAAGCCCTTCTTCCACCTCAAGAAAGCAGAATTGTGTAAATGATATTGTTGGATTTCTTTGTTCCCTGGCAGAATCTTTCTACAACGCTATAATTCTTATTGTTCTTTATCTCAAGTTCTGCCTGAAAGTATTTAGTCCTACGTCACCAAATATCAGTCCATCGTGCCGTGTATTTAGAGGAGCGACTGACGCTACACTCGCCTACAGTTGATACTTGACATGAACACTTGACGTGGATCCGTCGTGAACCTGTGAATCTTCCGTCAACTATTCAGGAGATCAATCATCAACTACAATATGTGGATTGTAATCACATATTTTAAATACGGTTTGTAATCGTTGCAAACCATTATTTAAACTTATTCCCACGATTCAAACCCTATCAAGAGGCCAACACTAAAGTCATGCACGATGATAATTGTTGTTCTGACACTGAAACTTTGTTGACCTGATAAAATTAGAACTTAGGATTAGTCATTCAATATAAGGGAGAGGGCTTAATATTGCTTGAAGCACCTACATAGAAATTATTGCTTGAAAGTGCAGAGCTCTAGAGCCTTTGTCCGAATAAACCTCACTAACAGTTTAATTTAAAATATCTCTACAAACTAATCTAAGACGCGATGGAATGGGAGCAACTTAGAGTCAGACTAATCATAGGTGAATTCCTATTTTTCTTTAACAGTTACAATGTTACAATACGTTAAACTGTCACATATGGCGTGCAGAAATATCTCGTCTCATGCTTTTCAAGTATTACCTGCAATAATTTGCACCAGAGAATTTTAACTTTTACATACAATATCTCTGCTTTGCAGTTCCTGTCACTACAGCATAATTAGATGAATTCATCCCATTATATTCGATACAAAAGTGAATGCTCAAGTACTGTATTTTCAGTCTGTCGTCAGTAAATGATGTTTAATATACTGGGGAGCTGAAGTAATAATATGTTAATGGCAAGTCGGGCTTTTTAATCTTGATCCTGCTAAACAATGACTTGTTTGAATTTGAATGAGTCCCTCTGTAACATAAGGCTTAAACAGCAGTGGTCAACCTTACTGGTCCCCCTGGTAATGGTAACCACGTCAACGTTTCACCTATTCACACTCTTAGATTTTTATTTTCTTGCTTCATCGTGGAGAGACCTGTATTTAATTTGTTGGAGTATCACAACTACTCTTGTAGCCCATCTTGTCGCATATTTCTTTAATCTACTTCCTTAAATTGCTTTGCTTGGCGTTTCTTTCGATTATCACAAACTCGATTCTTTAAGTAGTACACTATTTCTTTAAAATTATCAGTTAGTGGGAACATTCGATAATTAAATGTCCATAAAAAATTTTGTAAAATTTGTGATAAGATTTACAGTCTGAGTTAGAGGCTATGCTTCATTGTCAACTTTTACTTTTATCGACAGATTTTTTAAAATACTATAGTTTAATTCGAATTATATTATACTGGTAATTTTATCATTAATGATATTGACATCGCATTCTAACTTATAGATTTAGACGAATAATATTTCATCATCATTACATGACAGTCGTAGCCATTGTCAAAAGTGAAGATTTATACATATTCTGATTTATATAACTGTGCAAGTTATTAAATATAATAGATAAGTCGGGGGAATGGATTAATTGGTAAACTAAACAAATTCGATCATCCAAATATGTATTGGTGGCGGCCGTTATAATTAGCAAGTTAAGCTGTCATCTAGTGTTACAGTGATTTATAATATATATAAGTATAGGAACCATAATATAATATAGCAGGACAATTTATGCTGCCGCTAGTGGGTGTTGGCTTCACAAACAAACCTGACCAGTACTATAATAACTATAACGGCTCTTGACTACTTTTTAAAAACTCATTCAGGTTCGTATTCTTGCTTGTAGCTCTGTGTGCACTGTATTGAAGGTATCCATAAGATGCTAAAAGTTTTTATTTTTTTATTTTGGTTGTTTATTTCAGGGTAACTAATGCTAGATTCAGCAGCCCTGCTCCTCCAAGTATGTCCCCCACCACCTCGCTCTCCTCCCCGGCTGTACACTGGTCAGTTTCTCAGGGGACCCCCTCCCTGAGACATGTAAATACCAGGGGCCATAACAACCTCCAGCTGCTCCACACTCACGTGTTGTCTCGAACTACCGGCACAGTTACTCTGCCAGGGTATCCGTTTCTAAAACCAGCACCTCAACCCCCCCCTGCCTCCCACAACTCGTGAGGGAGAGTGACACAGTTTAACCAGCTTGCTGAACTTGATAGGATGATGGTGGTGAAGATGATTTGTTATCTGATAACTACTATTTTATTAACAACAGCCCCCCTCCCGCTCACCACAAAGCTTGCGTCAAGAGAACCCCTCACTTTATGGGGTGAACCAGGTAACCACCCCTCTTTGTAGAAATGAAACCTAAACCCTTGCTGAGTGTGCGTGCTGGTGTTCAGGTATTAGTTACGAGGCTGCCCGGAGGACATGTTTGTACCAGTCCCGATATACCTGTATTATAGACGAGACAGACTGATACAGGTAGCTGGAGAAGGAGTTGTTGTGGCCAACCAGATGAGACATATTTTACAGTTATTGAGACAGGTTGAAGACACAACAATAGGTTAGACATTTCCAAACTCATTGTCACTATCTTGAAAACGAGTTCAAACAATCTGAAGGAGAGTCTCCCACGGTCCATTGGCAGTAAAAATTTGGGCACTGCGCCAGAATGATTAGGAGTATGATTGTCAGTAACAAAGGAAAAATAAAAAAATTGCTGGGATGTAAATGTCACAAATCATGAGATTCAGGGAAAAAATCAAGTGATAGCATTGGCATTATTAAACTGAATCTGTTTTATGGACAGGACCTGGGGAAAGCTATTTAAAGTATGTTCACACTTTTTATTTCACATTAATTCACTATTCGCAGGATCCCGGTTATTATTTGATTTGAATGTAAAATAAACTCAAATTTATTTAACTTTTAATATGAATTTAAAGTAAATGGAAATTGTTACGGAGGCAAAGGATTTAAAGATGATGCTGTCGTTTAAGCTATTTCCAATATTTTTTAATTTGGAAAGCTAGGAAGGATGTTTGGATACTGGAAACGTAGATAATTGAGGTAACTATACAATTTTATTAGCTTTCAGTTCTACAACAAAATAAAAGTTTGATTATAAGATTCGGCGTGAATGAAATATTTAACTGAGAACGTATAATGAATTATAAAACGTGCAATTTTTAGATAGATTGTCATCTATTGTCATTCATTAACATCTTTTTTATAAAAAAGCGTTTTTTTCTTTACATTGAACAAAAAAATAAATAATATTGTATTTTTAGTTTTTGCTTGAACCAACATAATAATATAAATTTTGCCTTACCCCCCCCCCCACCCCGCCCCGCCCGCAGTCTATAGGAAACGAAAAATTTAAACAATATATTGCGTTTAGAACAAAATTTATTACGCAAATTATAATATTTTTACATCTTCACACAGTGAAACTTAAATCTACAAAAAACAGAATTCAGAATGGACAGGAAACAGAAAAACTGTAGTCAAAGTAAGTAGTTAACAAAACAGAAAAAATGAAATTAATAGTAAAGAAAATGCACTATCATAATAAAAATCAGAACATTTCAACATTGTTAAAGCAGCAGTCATGATTTTAGGAACCTCGATATACAATTCATATTTTTAGTCTTAATACTGTAACCTTAACAATCGCTCATAATTAAAATATAAATGAATAATCTTTTTCCAATTTGTTTCGATCTAGTCATCCGTCGGGTCGATGGTTCTGCAACAGGGAGTAAGAGCAGTGTGATCCCATCTTCCCGTTGTGGTATCGCACCTGGCCTCAGTTCTATCCTCGTTCATTATCACATAGGTCGGATCATCATCAGCACAGGTAACTTTGAACTTGTAGTCGCTTGAGCCGGCCACTTTCTCCTAGAATTGAACAAATATTTTAAACAGAAGACAGAAAGGAATTAATTGAATTTACACGAACTTAATTTCTCTTGTATTCCGCTCCCAGATTATTACATCAGTCCATATAAATAAGATCGGAAAAACAGAAAGATAAGACATCTTTGCTGCTGATAAAAAATAATTATAAATTAAGTTATTAATTCTAGAAAGTAGAATGATTCACCTTTGTAAGTACTGTGTTTGGTGGCTTAGTTAGGGGTCTACACCTCCTCTTCATCGCAAGTTTCACTTTGCTTGTTGTGTATTGTTGGCCATTTTCGAACGTAAATCTAAAAGAAAAGTTATTCAATTTCATAAAGAATCGTGCTCATTATATAGTTGATCAATCATACATAAAAACTAATTTCTAACAAATTAATTACATCCTTTCATTGGATCCTTAGCAGCTTTAAGTTTGCAAGGCATATTTTACGAAACTTTAATTTTGTTATTACTTGAAGTAGTAAGACCCATCATCACAGGAAAATGCTTTTTTCATCTCATGGTTCACTTCAAGAGGAGTACGTGAGGACATACTCGGTAAATTCACCGACACTTCTTTACCACTCTCTGAAGATTGAAACTATTAGAATACAATGTGGACATTTCATCCTTTGAAATGCTAAGGGATTACTCCTTCGACCTGAACCACCGAATCTTGGCATCAAATATTACCACTACCAAAACTAAAATATTGAAGAAAAAAGTGTTGATTACATTGCAGTTGTACATGTAGTCGAGTTAGACCATTTCTTGGATAGAACTTTCTCACAAGTAGTTGAATTAAAACTATTTTATCTTTTTTCTAGATACTTAAATTATCTTAACTTACGTTCATGAACTAACATTACACTTAATGGTTCGGGTCCAATTATCAACGCTACATGAAAGAATGCAGATTTGCCCTCAAAGTCAGAATCGACCACTGGCACATTAGCTGAGACAGCTTTCAAAGTGATCAGACCTGTTGTCACTTCGAAACCAGACATTTTAATTCGAGCCTTGTATGCTGAAATTTTACAAGTGATTCATAATGTGAATTGTAATACTAATATCAAATTATTGAGGACGGACGTGTTGAATATATGTTAACGATGCGATCCGAATAATTCTTAGAAAAGTAGATAGCTAGTAAAATTACAAATAAAAAATAACAGGTTTAGTTACTTTACTCAGTGCTTAATCATTCACCTGTTATATCGAATTTCTTTATCTTATCAATGACCAGGGTTGCAGACATGACGCTGCGATCGTCTAACTTTGAGAGGACGTTATGGTAGCCGGCTCCTGTTCCGAGATCTTTCCAGTTGCTGTTCACGCCTACATGTGTAGAATTTTTGATGATGATAGATAACATTTGGGAAGTCGATGTGATAAAGCAAAGTGCCTGTGCAGTAAAACCCTGAGTTTGGGGGAAGGAAACAACCGCGGTAAAACGGGGTTTGCGGTAAATATTTTATTATATTATATTATTGATGTGATAAAGCAAAGTACAAAATAATTATTTAACAGAGCTAAAACGTTAACGTGAAATAAAGTTCTAATCTTACCCTTTAGCTGCAGCCAGGTCACGGTTACACTTGTTGTGCTGGAGGCTGTGAAATAAGCAGTGAGCTTGAGCCTTGCTCCGGAGATTGCCCACTTTGGTAAGATGTCAACAAATGTCTGTCCTGTTGAGATAAGATCGAGTAAGCTAATACCAAGATATAGATAGTTTTAATTTATTAAACTCAAAGTTAAAACATATCAACATGCAAGTTCAATTCTCCCCCTCCCAACAACCGTTTGATAATTAATTTCCCATTTGCAATTAAAACTCATGTATAATACAGAAAAGTAAGTTACCAACTGATTACCTATTAGAAAGATTTTTCCGGTAATTGAAATTTCTGAAGGCAACCTCGAATTGATAGTGTATTTGTACTGTCACCAAGATGTAACCCAACTCCAGAAAATGCGCGCGACAATCAACTCCAGAAAATGCGCTGGGGGGTCTACTGCCTCGTAACACAGTGCTGAAACGTATATTTACATATATAAGTAACATAAAAGCCGCGCAATTATGGAGTTGGGGAATTGAGCCGCGGATTTTCTGGAGTTAATCACGACCTGGTGAGGGTTAGCCCCTCAGATCGACATTATGCCTGCTGGTCTCACCAGTAGGCATTATATATTTAATTTTCAGCACCTGTCGGCTGATTTATACTCAGTAACTTTGCATTAGTGTTTCATATTCTTTTTTGTTTGAAAATGAAAAGGCTTTTATCACAGTTAAACTGAATAATTTAAAAATATCAGTTGGAGATAATGTCACTGGTATCATGTCGGAAGTTTGCTGCTTATCATCAATGACTATCACTGCACGGTGCTGTGTTACATCTGATTCTTTTACACGCTGGACGACAAGACTTGTAAACATGACATCGTTCTCTGGATTTGCCACACTATAGTAAAGAGTACGGTAGCCATATGATGGAACGTTCGTCCAGTTTCCTTCAATCATGTGTTTCCAGATCATAACCTCGATAGTCAAATTGTTTGTGGCAGTCAGGAATGTGGTTAACATGTCTTGATTTCTTTCCACAGCCCAAACTGGAGATTAAGTGAAGCCGGCTTACTAAATTGAAACCACCAACTTTCTATAGTTACTTACTTCCGGCTTCTTCTCTTCTTTTTTCCTGCACAAAATATCGGTTCAGATAGTTGATTTAACCAGTTAATAAAGTTGTTGAAATATTGAGCATAAAAACGAGAATTTGGCCGTAGTTAAACCATCCCTGTACAATGAGGAGGAACTTCGGTGTAATTAATTAACGCATAGCTGACGCTTCCTAAACAAATAATTAAAGGGGAGTGGTCTATTGCGAAGAAGCAGACTTTTGTCGTCAACGTAGCCCCCTTTTTCCACTTCATATATCCAAACCCGATTACTTATTCCCTACGATATTTTTTCCCTCGGCAATTATAGTAGGGAAAAAGATTTGGCATTCTTGAAGTTTGAATATACTAAGTAAAGATCTTAATATATATATGTATATTATTATCATTGGAGGACGTTTTATTATATATATATCGTGTATAAAAGGGTAGTTCAAAAATCAACTAATTTACTTATTTTTGCCAAATTTTACCCCAGCCGTGGGCAGTTGTCTGCGGACAGTGGTCGGGCTATCTAGATACTGCCTCACACACATTAATCAAAGTTTTCTATCTCTAGCTCTCGAAGCTCGAAACTGACAGTTTATATGGTAGATGAAGGCCAAGGTAATGTAGTTTTACATAGAACGCAATGTATCTTACACTCATGTTGAATATGTGATGGTCCTAGTAGAGTGTAACTTAACTTACTTTTAATTATATCAACAGCGTTGAAGTAAAGGTGAAGTCGGTAACGGTTAACTTCAGCCTTCTCCTTCAAGAGTGGCCGGGAGAAGGGTCGGGGAGGAAGAAACATCGACTCAAAATTTCTCTTCGCCGGCTTCATGATCTGTCTGATCTCCTTTTCCTCATCCTCTCTGCTGAGCCGAAGGAAGTTGTGGATGTGAACACACGTCCTCACAACTAAGGTGGTCATCTCCTTTCTCGTATGGAGAACATCAAAAACTCTGAATTTTCGGGCCAAGTGCCCAAAACCACACTCGACCACCATTCTCGCACTGCAAATAACAAGGTTTGGTTTAGAGGTAAGCAATTATATTCCATAGTCGTATTAAGTTAATAAGTGCTACTTATAACAACCTAATTGCCAAACATCAGCATTATGTAGAATGTTAAATGATGGAGATGTTTATTTTCATTTCACAAGGGCAAAAAAAGGGCAATGAAATGAGATTATAAATCTTATTAGCAATTAGTAAAAAGTTGAAAAACAACCCACAAAATTACTTTTGTAAAAGCAGCAATTCACTCGATAATTGTACATCATAATATATTATATATTACCTGGATAAGCGGTAGTTGGTATTATCCATTAGATCCTTGTCCTCCATCCCGTTCCTAACCCTGAATGGCTTCATCATGTGGGGCTGAAGCCCGAAAGCGTCGTCCCCGACGAAGAAGTAGTTGACCAATCCACAGGATCTCTGAAGTCAAACGACAAGTTTAAAAAAGCTTTCCTATCCTTTTACATCTTAATTGTAAAAAAATAAACCACGTCTATCTCCACATATACATTTGTATCGTTATTTGCTATATATAAGATTAATCATATTAACGGAAATCTGACCTTCTCGTCTCTGGGGAGGTAGTTTGGTGCAGGAATAAAGCTGTCGAGGTGGCCCTTGTTCAGAGCTGACCCAAGTCTGTCCTCTGCCCATACACCTCCATCACTCCTTGAACCATACGCCCCCACATTAAAATGTATGAACCTGCGAAAATAAATTTTCATCGATCCAAATCAGTCAAATAAATACCCAAATTCGAAAGATTTAAAAAAAGGTATCGAATGCCTGAGCAGAATTTATAATACAGCTGATCAGAATGAGGAAATTATCAACAGAAAAATCAAGGGGGGGGGGGGGGGGGGATCATGTTATTTTTTGTCCGTTTTTGTCCGTTGTAAATTTTTATTTAAATTTTCTCCACAATTTGTAACAGGCTATCTGCAGAAATGGGTAGCCCGGTTAATGACCATGGTCCTTTCTCAAACTTTTAATCCTCAATTAGGTACAAAGAATAGTCTACACATTTTTTAATAACATAAAAAGGGATGAAAAGTTTTATTACTGGAGAGTAAAACTTTGTTAAACACAAAGATTCTTGAGCACATTTTGAGTCCTACTCAAATGCGTTTAAAAACATTTTAGTATATAACAATAAATTATGTAAACAATAACACCAACAATAATTATAAATTGAACAAATTATTGAGAGATGAAAGAGAGGAAGAGGAGGAGGGGGACTGAGGAGGGGGGACTGAGGAGGGGGACTGAGGAGGAAAAGGAGGGGGGCTAAGGAGGAGGACCCAAGAGGAGGACGACCCAGGAGGACTGAGGAGGAGGACTGAGGATTGAGCCCAGGAAGAGGAGGGGGATGAAGAGGAGGAGAACCCAGGAGGAAGACTGAGGATGACTGAGGAGGAGGATGAGAACTGAGGAGGAGGAGGAGGACTGAAGAGGACTGAGGAGGAAGGCTGAGGAGAATGGCTGAGGAGGATAACTGAGAGGGAAGAGGAGGAGGAGGAGGAGGAGGAGGAGGGGGACTGAGGAGGAGGAGGAACTAGGAGGAGGAGGACTTAGGCGGAGGACTCAGGAGGAGGAGGAGGACTGAGGAGGAGGACTGAGGAGGAAGACTGAGGAGGAGGACTGAGGAGGAGGACTGAGGAGGAGGACTGAGAAGGACGAGGACTGAGGAGAACTGAGGAAGATGAGGAGGAGGACTGAATAGAAGGAGGAGGAGGGGGACTGGGGGAGGACTGAGGAGGAGGAGGACTGAGATGGAGGACTGAGCTGTGGAGGAGGACTGAGCACTACCTTGGGTACCTTGAGGACTGAGGAGGACTGGGGAGGAGGTAGAGGAGGGGGAGGAGGATAAGGAGGAGGAGGAGGAGGAGGAGGAGGAGGAGGAGGAAGAGGAGGAGGAGGAAGCATCTAAATGTTATTTCCATTTTGTTATTTTTTGTCCGTTTTTGTCCGTTTTTGTCCGCTCTAATTTTTGTCAGTTTTGAAAATATAGGGTTCCGAACGGAAAAAACGGATAAAAAACATGATATTCCCCCCCCCCCCCAGGAGGAGGAGGAGGAGGAGGAGGAGGAGGAGGAGGAGGAGGAGGGTGACTGGGGAAAAGACTGAGGAGGACTGAGGAGGAGAAGGAGGAGGAGGATGAGGAGGAGGGTGACTGGGGGAGGACTGAGGAGGAGGGTGACTGGGGGGAGGACTGAGGAGGATGAGAAAGACTGAGGAGGAGGAGGAGGAAGAGGAGGAGAACGACTGAGGAGGAGAACGACTGAGGAGGAGAAGGAGGAGGAGGACCCAGGAGGAGGGCCCAGGAAAAGGCCCCAGGCTTGGAGGAGGAGGAGGAGGAGGACTGGGGAGGAGGAGGACTGTTGAGGACGAGGAGGAGTAGGAGGAGGACTAAGGAGGGGAGGAGGAGGAAAAGGACTGAGGAGGATCAGGAAGACCCAGGAAGAGGACTGAGGAGGAGGAGGAGGACTGAGGAGGAGGACTGAGAAGGAGGAGGACTGAGGAGACATGAGGAGGAGGATCAGGAGGAGGAGGACTGAGAAGGAGGAGGACTGAGGAGACATGAGGAGGAGGAGGAGTGACTAGGAAGAGGAGGGGGACTGGGGAGGAGGAGGAGGAACTAGGAGGAGGAGGACTTAGGCGGAGGACTCAGGAGGAGGAGGAGGACTGAGGAGGAGGACTGAGGAGGAAGACTGAGGAGGAGGACTGAGGAGGAGGACTGAGGAGGAGGACTGAGGAGGACTGAGAAGGACGAGGACTGAGAAGGACGAGGACTGAGAAGGACGAGGACTGAGGAGAACTGAGGAAGATGAGGAGGAGGACTGAATAGAAGGAGGAGGAGGGGGACTGGGGGAGGACTGAGGAGGAGGAGGACTGAGTTGGAGGACTGAGCTGTGGAGGAGGACTGAGGACTACCTTGGGTACCTTGAGGACTGAGGAGGACTGGGGAGGAGGTAGAGGAGGGGGAGGAGGAGGAGGAGGAGGAGGAGGAGGAGGAAGAGGAGGAGGAGGAAGCATCTAAATGTTATTTCCATTTTGTTATTTTTTGTCCGTTTTTGTCCGCTCTAATTTTTGTCAGTTTTGAAAATATAGGGTTCCGAACGGAAAAAACGGATAAAAAACATGATATTCCCCCCCCCCTCCCCCCTCCCCCCAGGAGGAGGAGGAGGAGGAGGAGGAGGAGGGTGACTGGGGAAAAAACTGAGGAGGACTGAGGAGGAGGATGAGGATGAGGAGGAGGGTGACTGGGGGAGGACTGAGGAGGAGGGTGACTGGGGGAGGACTGAGGAGGATGAGAACGACTGAGGAGGAGGAGGAGGAAGAGGAGGAGAACGACTGAGGAGGAGAACGACTGAGGAGGAGAAGGAGGAGGAGGACCCAGGAGGAGGGCCCAGGAAAAGGCCCCAGGCTTGGAGGAGGAGGAGGAGGAGGACTGGGGAGGAGGAGGACTGTTGAGGACGAGGAGGAGTAGGAGGAGGACTAAGGAGGGGAGGAGGAAAAGGACTGAGGAGGATCAGGAAGACCCAGGAAGAGGACTGAGGAGGAGGAGGAGGACTGAGAAGGAGGAGGACTGAGGAGACATGAGGAGGAGGATCAGGAGGAGGAGGACTGAGAAGGAGGAGGACTGAGGAGACATGAGGAGGAGGAGGAGGAGTGACTAGGAAGAGGAGGGGGACTGGGGAGGACTGAGGAGGAGGACTAAGGAGAAGGATGAGGAGGAGGACTGCGGAGGAGGATGAGGATGAGGACTGAGAAGGAGGACTGAGGAGGATGGCTGAGGATGGCTGAGGTGTACTGAGGAGGATGGCTGAGAAGGATGGCTAATGAGGAGGATGACTGAGGAGGATGACTGAGAGGGAGGAGGAGAAGGAGGACCTAGGAGGAGGAGGACCCAGGAGGAGGACTCAGGAGGAGGAGGATGAGGAGGATGAGGAGGAGGAGGAGGAGGACTCAGGACGAGGAAGACTGAGGAGGAGGATGAGGACTGAGAAGGAAGAGGACTGTGGAGTACTGAGGAGGATGGCTGAGGAGGATGGCTGAGGAGGATGGCTCAGGAGGATGACTTAGGAGGATGACTGAGGAGGATGGCTGAGGAGGATGACTGAGGAGGATGACTGAGAGGGAGGAGAACTGAGGAGGAGGAGGAGGAGGATTGAATATGAGGAGGAGGACTAACGATAAGGATGAGGAGGATAACTGCGAGGGAAGAGGAGGAGGAGGAGGAGGAGGACTGAGAAGGAGGATGAGGAGGAACTAGGAGGAGGAGGACTTAGGCGGAGGACTCAGGAGGAGGAGGACTGAGGAGGAGGACTGAGGACTACCTTGGGTACCTTGAGGACTGAGGAGGACTAGAGAGGAGGTGGAGGAGGGGGAGGAAGAGGAGGAGGAGGAGGAAGAGGAGGAAGAGGAGGAGGAGGAAGCATCTAAATGTTATTTCCATTTTGTTATTTTTTGTCCGTTTTTGTCCGCTCTAATTATTGTCCGTTTTGAAAATATAGGGTTCCGAACGGAAAAAACGGATAAAAAACATGATATCCCCCCTCTCCCCCCCCCCCCCCCCAGGAGGAGGAGGAGGAGAAAGACTCAGGAGGAGGACTGAGGAGGAGGAGGAGGAGGACCCAGGAGGAGGACTCAGGAGAAAGAGGAGGAGGAGGACTCAGAAGGTGGAATGAGAAGGAGGAGAACTGAGGAGGAGGAGGAGGAGGAGGAGGACTGAATAGGAGGGGGAGGGGGACTGGGGGATGACTGAGGAGGAGGAGAACTGACGAGAACGATGAGGAGGAGGACTGAGGAGGAGGAATGAGGACTGAGGAGGAAGAGGAGGAGGATGAAGAGAAGGAGGAGGACCTAGGAGGAGGAGGACAGAGGAGGAGGAGAACTAAGGAGGATGAGGAGGAGGACTGAATAGGAGGAGGAGGGGGACTGGGGGAGGACTGTGGAGGAGAAGGACTGAGGAGGAAGAGGAGAAGGATGAGGAGGAGAACTGAGGAGGAGGAGGAGGAGGACTGAATAGGAGGGGGAGGGGGACTGGAGGATGACTGAGGAGAGGGAGAACTGACGAGAAGGATGAGGAAGAGGACTGAGGAGGAGGAATGAGGACTGAGGAGGAAGAGGAGGAGGAGGAAGAGGAGGAGGATGAAGAGAAGGAGGAGGACCCAGGAGGAGGAGGACTGAGGAGGAGGAGAACTGAGGAGGATGAGGAGGAGGACTGAATAGGAGGAGGAGGGGGACCTGGGGGAGGACTGTGGAGGAGAAGGACTGAGGAGAAGGATGAGGAGGAGGACTGAGGAGGAGGACTGAGGAGGAAGAGGAGGAGGATGAAGAGGAGGAGGATGAAGAGGAGGAGGAGGAGGACTCAGGAGGAGGACCCAGGAGGACTCAGGAGGACTCAGAGGACTGAGGAGGATGACTGAGGAGGAGGTGGAAGAGGAGGAGGAGGCGGAGGAGGAGGAGGAGGAGGAGGAAGCATCTAAATGTTAATTCAATTTTTGTTATTTTTCTTCCGTTTTTGTCCGTTTTTGTCCGCTTTATTTTTTGTCTGTTTTGAAAATATAGGTACCAAACGGACAAAAACGGACAATAAACATGATCCCTCCCCCCCCCCCCCCCCAAAATCAACCACATCATAAAATTTGTGGAACAGTCAAAAAGATTAGAAAAGAAAGATCTCTTTGGGTAACATTCTAGGATTTAATATAATCAGGAAATAACCTAATTCCAGAAAAAAAAACATGATTGAGAGGGAGTGGGAACCTGACACGAAGACACATTCATAACCCGTAAGTCAAAAGATCACGTGATATCAAACTCCAAATATTTTAGACATTCCTCCAACATATTGGGACATTTATTCAACATTTAGGGGTTTCACTTTATTAATAAGAATCTGAAACTTCACGAACCTGTACTTTGCGTCGACAACAGCAAGGAGGATGATAGAGTTAAACCCCTTGTAATTGTGGAGGAGGCAACCACTTCTTGGGTGCTTCACTACTTTCACATGCTTCCCGTCAACCGCTCCTATATGTTTTATTAGCTTAGAATGATTTGTCAATATTTTAATCAGAATGTAAGACCGTCGGATCACAAAGCACAGTAAGTACAAGTACATAATTTCATTAAATATTGTACAGCATAAACTTTCATATTCTCGTAATATACTCTATAGTATAGTTAGTATTATTCCAATTCACCAACTTCTAAAGTAGCATTCCCATCTTAATCACCCCTTTTAAAGTGGCTTTGTTCATATGGCGAAAAGCCGATAAGAAAACTATTTTTTAGTGTTGTAATTATATACCTAGACAGTGGGGCAACCTCCATCTACTATCGAACTCGTCAGCTATTTTAAGCCAGTCTTCGAGATTTTTCGGGCGGCAATCAGCCTCTACACTCAAAAGATCACACAGAGCCTGACAAACCTGTAACACAAATATTTTATGAATTTTTACCAAGACATAAAGCTAAATGGTGAATGTTAACTTCGGCAGAATTTGGTTAACGTGTCAGAGACTATTTAAAACCACATCATTACACGGATACTTTTACCATCACGGTAACCAACTTAAAAGTTAATATAGGCCTAAGTTATCCAACAAAGTACATTGCATGGTATATTAAAATAAGATCTGTAAGATCTTATATCTGGCATGAAATCAAGATTAGTGAAACTCGCAAAATTTAATTTGAAAAGCATATTTTAAACGAAAGTAACACCTTAGTCCTTATTACAGAAAGCTAGTAGTGTAATTTTGAAGCGTCTCATAATTCCAATAAAAACACAACTAAACCTGTTTAACAACAAAACCCAAGTGTTGCGAGCTAATTGACCACCAAATGGCCAGAACTGTGAAACTTGAACCGCTTCGGAGGTAGCTGAAATTATTGAGTTTTACAAAATCTTAAAGGGAAATAATGTGCCCAGAAAACATCATTAATAGGAGTCGTTCATATATTACGTTATCAGCCGAGGGGAAGGGGTTTTCAAATAATTACGCCAGTGTAATTTTGACACAATTTCTATGTGTGAAACTGATGGATTGTTCATCTCTCATGTATAAAGTAATTAAACGCTTCCTCTGAGAAATTATAAAAAAATATCATAAGTTTTAAAAGTTTAAAAATATTCTTACTTCAATGTACAGGCCAACTTAGCTTCTGGAGACATCCCTGGAATCTCTTTTTTCGATGTAGACAAGAGTTTTGGAGTAAGTTTCATAGAGAGTGTTTTGAACTCTAATTTGTTCATGCCGAAAAATTTCCTGAAAAAAAACGCTAAGCACCAAGTTACATTTGATTTTATGAGAAACAATATCTTCATTTTACTGAGACGACTTGCCAAGGAACAAGAACTTTGGGTTGGGTCTTTATTAGCAAGAGATTTTAAAAAAAAGCATACATCTTTGATTGATCTAAACTCTATTTTCTTACCGATACTCAGAGTTATTTCCATGTTGTAGCAACATCCTGGCTTGGATGACAAGTCCGTTTATTTTAGGTAAAGATTTTAGATAGCGGGATTTCGGGGAGCTGAAAAAGAAAATTATCAGTTTGACGAAAAAACCATCATAGAAGAAGCTAATAGTATTCTTTGTAAGTTTTTATTGCATCAAATAACATCCATGTACCAAGTGCCAACTGAAGATACAGCCGAGTAATATGTAAAAACAGCTATGCAACTTCCTATTTGCACATTGGGGTTGTATTGTATATATACAGCTAAATATAATAATAGAGGCAAGAAAGTTTGTGGTCAGAGTGAAGATTGAAGAGGCTAAGAAATGTGACTTAAGTCAAAAATTTAAGAAAACACAGTTTTGGTACAGATACCACATTTCTAAACTTACTTGCAAGCCAGTCTGTAGGTAATTTTTGTTAGTACTCTATGCTGCGTTTTTAGGGCGACATAGGACAGGAATCTCGCAATAATCCTTAATTTTTTTTCTCTTTTCTTTGTAGCCATGTTTTACTTTTTTAAATTGGTGTCATTAAGAAAAAAATAGCGGGGAAATATAATTTGAATTTGAAAATGAATTAATTATCAACTAAATGAATTAATTATCACCGATCAGATCTGTCATAATTTGTATTTTGACCAAGTTGCAAAAGCCAGGGATAGTGTTTTAGACGAGATTTGTAGTGAAATCAACAAGACAATGTGCGAGGAAATTCAATCTTGCAATTTGATGAACAAGAGATCACTAACGAAAGAGAAACCATGAAAATGTTTGGAAACTGTTTGTTGTATATTGGACCAGTTCAGTATCCCCTGGCCAAGGAAGGCGATACCTCTTGCAGAAGAAATTGACAAGCTGAAAAGTGAGAAGATTTCAGATCAGATGCAGAGTACTATCATCGATCTTCAGAATACATACATGCTACATGAGGAGGTCTCATCCTAGTCGTTGGAGTGGCCTGCATCACACACATCTCTTTTACGGTGTATCATGTTCCTCCATTCCACTCGTTTTAGAGCTAACTGTTTTACTGCATCTCTGCTGATGTTATCAACACCTGTAAAGTCAGCTGCATCCTGGCCTCGAGTACACAGGCCATCCAGCCTTTGTGGGGTCGTCCTTTTAGTCTCTTTCCATAGTTTGGTTCCCAGTCCAGTGGTTTCCAATCCAGTAGAAAATTGGGAAACCGTGTATCTGGCATTCTGACAACGTGTCCTTACCACCTTAGGCTAGCTGAACCGATGAAAGTTTCAATAGACTTAATTCCAGCACGCCTGAGAATTTCTTCATTGGAGACATGAAAGAACCACTTTATTGTCATGATTCTTCTCAGATGGAAGACCTCGAACCGTTTTATCTGCTCCTTTGTTGTGTTGCACAACTTCAGCTCCATATAACAGAATAGTAGTAACAGCAGCCTTGTAGATAAGGATCTTGGTGGGCGTTCTTATAGTTCTACTGTTCCATATCTTTCAAAGCTGATGGAACGCACCATTAGCACTCTGGATCCTGATGTCAAGATCTCGGTCAATGGTACCATCCCCACTGATGTTGGCACCAAGAAAAACAAAGTTGCTGACCTGTTCAACAGGTTCTCCCTCCACTGTTAGCCTTATACTGTCTCTTTCGGTGTAAGGTCGCTGGGACGCACACTTGCCGATTGCCATACATTGTGTCTGGCATAAGAGGTGTAATAAGCGATAAGATCAGTGGACTCCTGCAGCCATTCTTCGGTATTGTCCATCACTGCCAGATCATCAGCGTAGTCACTATCCATGATAAAGTAAAGTAAAGTAAAGTAAAATGTATGACATTACATCATCACACATGTCTACAAAATATCATTGCACTATGTGAAAAAGTATAATAAATATTTCCCCACCAACATTAATTATTTATCAATATCAAATTATTTTAAAAAACAATTTTATCATTATCCTATTTTTTATCCTATTTTTAAAAAATGATAACTTTCTCATTTCCACCCTTCAGTTCCTTTTGCAGTACAGCACCATGACTGATTGCCTAGTGTGAACCTCAGCCAAGAAGATACCGAAGTTCAGAAAAATTAAATACAGGAGGGCCCTGGATATCACCCTGTCCAGTGCCTGAATTGACAGAGAACCAATCAGACATTTCACCATTAACCCTGACAGCACTCATGGTTCCGTTGGATGCCTGCAAGATTCTAACATATTTCTCAGGGAGACCATAGTGTCTCATGCTTGACCAGATAAACTCATCTTCTGATGGAATCAAACGCTGCCTTAAAATCAACGAAATTAACTTTAAAATATTCTTCAGAATGAGGCTATTGAACAGCTAAAATCAAAGCAGAATACCGTGCAAACGGAGATGAAAAGCTACTCTTCAGTATCAATGCTGCTTGTGCCCCGAAGAAGATCCAAGCTGCAGTTAAAAAAAGTTGAAAACCAGATTCAGAGAAGCAAAAATGTAATCATTTATGGTCTATCAGAATCAGAGAACGAGGAACTGCTGAGTAATGTTGAGGAGGTTCTGAATGAAATACTGCTGCCGTATTGGAGCTCCGAAAGAAAATGTATCCAGACCAGTAAAGTTCAGATTGAGCAGTTCTGACCATGCAACCCAAGTCATCAGAAACACCAGTTAACTACGCACAAAGGAGGGTATAGTCATAGATCAGTTTACATCTGCCCTGATAGGACTGCCGCGAAACAAGTTTACAAGAAGCTTATAGAAGAACTGAGACTGAAACAGACTACAGAGCTGAGCCTGACAAGTTTCATAGGAAATAGTATGAATGGGTACTCCACATCAATGAGAATACATGAAAACACAGTTAGTAATCAAATTACACACCAAAAAGATAACCAAATAGCACGAGAAGGATTTTCGAAATGCAACAATAACACTAATAAGTAACTTAGGTATTTTCGTGAAAATATGATAGTATTTGCTTTAGCGCTCGATTTTCTTACTACTACGGTGTAAATGTTCGAAAATATGCGCGGCGCACCTAAAATTTTGGTTCCATTTAAAATGAATTTTTTGTTCAAATTATATTAATCAGTTATCAGTTAATATATTTAAATTAGTCGTTATTAGAAGATACATGTTACGACAAAATTACGACAAAATTTCCAAAATATAGCATATAAGTACCAAAAATGAAATGCGCGCAAAAAGTCCAGATTGTGACCACTTTTTTGGATTTGTAACCAACGAAAAACAAAAACATTCGTTTTATATTATACCATATTGTGCGGTGGTCTTTTTTTAACTATCTCCATGCAATTTTTTTCGATTTTATCCGGAGAAACTTAGTCCAATCATTCACTTTTAATTGATTTTACGGTCAAAATACGATATGTAATATATAAGGTGTATTTGGGGTCACTAGCGTATCGAGCAGAAAATGCCCATAAAAGCCTCTATATACTACTGTTTAGGCTTGTATCCTTGTATCGTTGTATCCTTGTAGTAGTTTTGAAAATATTAAAATATTTTAATACTTTCTAAGATTAAAAATAGTGAAATCATTAAAGAACAATGCTGGATAAAATACCTAACAACACTTCAGTTGTTAGGTCCATACAGTGTTTGTACTGCATGTATTTTGACCTACTTATATTGGGCATCCATTTGAATCTTACCCATTCCTACTAATTTTTCATTAATCAAAAAGGAGAAATTTTCCAAATTATGTGAGTGCTGCTACATACACTTCAAGCCCCCCATGACATGTTCTAAATCACAGACTATTAGATGATGAAGTAGGACTTCCTTTAGACAACTTTTATCCACAAAATTCCTAGGAGTTACAATTGATGAGAACCTGCCAACGGAAGATCACATTTAAACCCTTATATATATATATATATATATATATATATTAAGCGAAATATAAATCATTCCACATCCACTATATGTTGACTTCGCTGCTCCCTTCCAGAATTCCTACATCAACAACTATATTATACTTTGTTTGAATCCCATCTCTCTTAATGTATATCTGTCTGGGTGGGGCAGTGAAGCAACATATAAGCTTTCTGTTTACCACCCAGAAGTACTGTCTTATAGGTTTAAGACCTGTGCGCATTCCAACCCAATAGGGACAAAAACACAAGAACAAGTTTTCATGAAAGAACATACTTAACCGCTATTCAAACATATTAATATCCTAGTAGCTATCCAAAATCTATATACAAATGTATAAACATCAAGGACTTTAAGGGAAAACTTAAAGCTCACCTGTTCAGAAAGTCCTTTGATTTGTACTGTACTGAGTAACTAATCCTTTATTGAAGGTTACAATATAAATAAAATGTTTATCTTATAGCAGGTCAATTTCACGTTTAAATTAAATTATTTTAGGCTATTAATTTTCAAGGATTTTTGGGCAACATTTAAGATAATAATCTTTTATTGCGTTTCATTGTGTCTGCCAACAAATTTGTAGTGTAGGTCGGAAAAGGAGGTTCTATCCTGGGACACCAACATTTTTTGGGTTGGCATCCGGGAGAAAGCTACCTTATTCTTTGTATTTTGTCTCAAGTACTAGAGCATCTTTTTTCTTCTCTTTTTTCACTGTCTCTACTTTTATGTAGCCCAGATTGTTTGGTATGACTGTATTGGATTTCCAGATATAATCTTTATCATCAGTTACTGTTCTGCAGTAAACTTTTTCAATCAATTTTTATTGTGTATTGGAAACTTCAGATTGTTTGTATATTGATGCTTTTTTGCATGGCCACATTCTTTCTTATTCTTATTCTATTGTGCTACCTTTGACTTTGTCACTATTGATAAGAGACCATACCTGTAGCAATCAAAACCCAACAAGTTTTTCAAAATTGTCCCATGTTCGAATGACGATTTTGTTTCTTTTTAACTGTCTTTTGACTTCCCTAATTACATTAATGACCATATATGAAATGAAATAAATGTAACTATCTTAAAGCATGCCACCTAAAAAGAACTGGGAATATGCAGTAGTTGCTGACAGCCGAAGAGCAATGAGGATACTCCAGAGTTTCCCGATAATATGGAATAAGAGACGTTAGTATTTTTTAGTAAAATATTTTTTGTTTCGGCGAAGTCCTTAATTCGATTAACCTTCACAGCTCCTTGTGTACAATTGTAATGCACATGCAATTGAAGTATCAAAAGTTCAAAGAGAATCTAGAAGCAAATTAAACCTGCAGAAATTAAACCTATAGATATGATGTGTAATATTGCCAGATCACAGTTCAATTTGTAACAGAGTTTTATGCAGATAGATAGGGTGTCTTGCAAAGCTAAAATAACAGATAACCATAATATTTTTTTGCCATACATAATCTTCAGTAGTTGCAGTGTTTTATGATCTGCAATGTATTAAGTCTCATTTTATGAGACCCAGGTCAACGTTTCTGTACTGACTCTTTGACCCTTTACAGTTTACGATATACTTTTTCAGATAAAAATTATCACCGGGCCCATTGTGTCGAGCGAAAAGAAAAGCAAGAGGAATTCCTTGTAAAACTTTTGGAAAGTGAGAGAGAATTAGCTCCTTCCAAACGTTATTGGACAAAGATGAAAGAAAGGACAAAGCAGAAATTTTGTAAGTTTCAATAATTTTACGATAATCTTAGGAGTCCTAAGATAATCGTATAATCAGATGCTGTGGAAATCAAAATATCGAGGGGTTTATTTTTATTTACAGTCATTGTATACTGTTTCAAAAAGACCTCTATAAATTGAATCAAGCAAGGGTTTGCATGATCCACGTACCAGGCGCTTGCAAAGTTCCGGCGACCGGCACGCAGCACTGCTTTCTTACAAAAAATTGTTGGAATATTTTTAAAATTACAAATTTATCCAGGGGCGTCAGTAGAACAGAAGATCGAGCTGATTAAAAAGAACATGATAAAACTGTTCGATAAAAGAAAAATGGTAAATTTCTTGTCTGTGAATTTGATTCCAATCATCCCTGAGGCAGTTTTCTTTTATCTCTAAATTAAATGGTTATTTTCGTCTTAACATATATAATCTGAAGATCAGAAAAATGAAATGGTATAAAAGTAAAGGCATTTTTTAATGTTTTATCTCTCATTTTAGGGGGAATCAAACCCAAAAATGAGGTTTATGGTTGGGTCCCTCCTTGATTGGCCCCCTAATGAGCTTCTCTGGATGGCGGAGTTCATGCCAACCAACAATTTTGGTGACGGGAGATCTCCGGGGGAGCGTTTGGCAATGGTAGGTTTTTAAGTTTTTCAGTGACAGATTCGCAGCATTTTTCAATTAAATGACCAATTTGAGTTACGTCAGGGATTCCTTCGGGAGCATGTAAGATTATATCCAAAGTTTGTTCGCCAATGGGGTGTGTCTGGGTGTCAAAGATCTTCAAGGTGGGTGCTACTTGTGATGAACTCTATAAGGATGGGGTGGTAATACTCGGTCTGGCCGTCTGGAAGCCCATAGAATTCCAGTTCAGAAACCGAGTAAGGAGGTGCGGCTACTGATGAAAAGCCTCCTTAAAGTTTATTTGGGTTAGAAACGACATCTGGGTCCCTACCCTCGCACAAGATTATTCTCAATTTTCTTGTTGTGTTCCACAACTATACTTCTGTATACTTCAGTGATTGGGCTGATGACTCCAGTGAAAGGGCTGGTGACTCTAGTGAAAGTTCTGGTGACAATGAGAAAGACCATAAACCAGGGATTCCTTCGGGAGCATGTAAGATTATATCCAAAGTTTGTTCGCCAATGGGGTGTGTCTGGGTGTCAAAGATCTTCAAGGTGGGTGCTACTTGTGATGAACTCTAGAAGGATGGGGTGGTAATACTCGGTCTGGCCGTCTGGAAGCCCATAGAATTCCAGTTCAGAAACCGAGTAAGGAGGTGCGGCTACTGATGAGAAGCCTCCTTAAAGTTTATTTGGGTTAGAAACGACATCTGGGTCCCTGCAGCTACCCTCGTACAAAATTATTGTCAATTTTCTTGTTGTGTTCCACAACTATACTTCTGTATACTTCAGTGATTGGGCTGATGACTCCAGTGAAAGGGCTGGTGACTCTAGTGAAAGTGCTGGTGACGATGAGAAAGACCATAAACCAGGGCTTCCTTCGGGAGCATGTAAGATTATATCCAAAGTTTGTTCGCCAATGGGGTGTGTCTGGGTGTCAAAGATCTTCAAGGTGGGTGCTACTTGTGATGAACTCTAGAAGGATGGGGTGGTAATACTCGGTCTGGCCGTCCGCGTCTGGAAGCCCATAGAATTCCAGTTCAGAAACTGAGTAAGGAGGTGCGGCTACTGATGAGAAGCCTCCTTAAAGTTTATTTGGGTTAGGAACGACATCTGGGTCCCTACCCTCGCACAAGATTATTCTCAATTTTCTTGTTGTGTTCCACAACTGTCAATAGACCCTTATTTTAAAGTAATTTAATAATTCCATTTAATCATTATGCTGTTTTATCTTCACAAACCAAACTCAGGTGACCCCATCAACCAGTGACAAGGGAAAAGAGGTAAGAATTTTATTATTGTGCTTTAAACGTGACAGGGTGTAAACAAGTTTGAATAAGAGATCAGTGATGATTACTCAAGAACAGAATTCCATTTATTACAAATAACGACGACTCAGCTGTAGGCTATGACTTCCGGAGATTGTGGAGTATTTGTTCATGTTGCACTTTATTCGGAGTTACTGCCACCAAGATGTATCTAGGTTGAACGGAGAAATTAGGTCTCACGCAAACCTAATTCCTGCATGAGACCTAATTTTTCCGTTCGACGTTACATCTTGGTGACAGATAGCATATATTATTTTTTCGGCCAACCGCACAATAAACATGGCCGTATTGCTCTTGTTCATGCTACTACTTGTGCTAATTTGTGCTTGATTCCAAAGTGACAATCCTCATTTCAGAAAAGACGAAAGACCATCTCGAGAGGGCCAGGGAAGCAGCCACAGCAGACGTGCAGCCATAGCAGGGAAGCAGCCACAGCAGCCACGCCCACACGGCCAGTGTCAGCAGACACGCTCTCGCTGCACTTACAGTCACCTTTACACTTGCAGCCATCCCCGCACTCACAGTCATCTACACCCCCACAATCACGCTCACCCCCACCTTCACACTCACCCTCACACCCACCCCTGCACTTACCCCCAACCTCACGCTCACCCCCTGCACCTTCACACTCACCCCCAACCTCACGCTCACCCCCTGTACCTTCACACTCACCCCCAACCTCACGCTCACCCCCAACCTCACGCTCACCCCCTGCACCTTCACACTCACCCCCAACCTCACGCTCACCCCCTGCACCTTCACACTCACCCCCAACCTCACGCTCACCCCCAACCTCACGCTCACCCCCAACCTCACGCTCACCCCCACCTTCGCGCTCACCCCCACCCACGCACTCACCCTCAACCTCACGCTCACCCCCACCTTCACGCTCACCCCCACCCACGCACTCACCCCCAACCTCACGCTCACCCCCACAATCATCCGTGACATCCTCTCGGACACCACCACCACCATGTGAGTACTTATATTTAATGATAATATAACTTAATCAACATACATTTTTCTTAGATACGCTCAATTAAGAAATGGTTAAATTTTAAAATCAGTCGGTCTGGCCGCCTGGAAGCCCATAGAATTCCAGCTCAGAAACCGAGTAAGGAGGTGCGGCTACTGATGAGATAATTAATTAAAAATAATTTGGGTTACAAACGACATCTGGGTTCCTACCCTCGCACAAGAGTATTCTCAACTTTCCCATTTTTAAGATGCTGCATGATATACTGCAATGGTTTTGAATGCTATTTGTATATTCTGTAAAATTTGGAAGAGACATACTATATCATCTTGTTATTGATGGTATTAATATTATTCGCAGGTTCAAAGAGAAGGGTAAGAAGAAAACATGAATCGGTTGGCTTGCAACCTAGTAAGTTTATGAGGAGATTGTAATATAAGATTAGAAAATTTACCAGGATTGTATTGTATAGGCTGTATTCACAACTGCAACCCAAAATTAATGGGTTGCATTAATTTAAATAAAAGTACATACGTTTTTGCCCTAAAATATTAAATATTCTCACCATATTATTATTTCACAGCATTTGAAAGAGTCATGCTAACATCATACTACATCCACCCATCATTTCATAACGAATGTCGACCTCGTAAGTAACAGAAAGGACCAAATAAATCGCACAAAGGTTAAAATACCTGTCATACATCCCGGTCCCGATCCCCGGATCCCGATGGCACCATGGCGGTACTGTTGTGGCACTCTAGCGGCACTCTAGCGGGATTGGGCGAAATCTGTCCTACAGCGACATCTGTCCGACAGCCAAATTAGGGATTTCGGACAGATGTCGCTGTCGGACAGGAGTCGTTTTTGGCGACATCTGTCCGAATTTCGGATTATATTGTAATTTTTGTTCACATTCGTATTTCACGGGTATGTTGCAGTTGTTGCTGATGTGATCCATTGAGAACTGATCCATCGATTGGATCGTGATTGACTAGTCGAGGACAGGAGGCAGGAGCGTGCTAGCCGTACACTAACAAGCTGTTGATCACTTCACAGGACACAGCCTACATGAGTACATATTATAGGACAGCGGTATGGAGATCAGTTATCGCAATCAACAATGGCAACCAATCTTCAGTTTATCCCTGGACGCAAACAAGGCTCGGAGAACCCTGTCCTGAATGGCTTCCGATACGTACCGGAGACTGGAGACTGACGTCACTCGAATCTGGAGGCACCTGAAGCCCATCCTTCCTATAGATTATAGACATGGCTGAGTTTTGTTCGTACTACGAAAACACTCGGATGGGGACATCAACCACCTATCGACAACTTCAGAGAATTGTAGATGATTACAAAAACTATAGAAACCCTATTATATGAACATTAATATAACATTTAAACTATTGTTCAATTTATCGACATAAAATGAAAATAAAATATGGTAGTAAACTATGGCTCAGTAACAGTTCAAGTTCAGAACTTGTCTCTGATTGGAAATGTGTCGTATTGAAATCAGATCACAATTTCGGACAGATGTGGTTTTTTTCTGGTACCCTTAGTCGGACAGATGTCGCTGTCGGACAGGAGTCGTGTTACCCTCTTGCTGCACTCTAGCGGCACCTTACTCTTAGCGGCACTGCTTTAACTCTTAATCATGTCCGCTCAAAAGCATAATAAAATGATTGTAATTTCATCAAGACATCATTATATCTTTCACAATAATCATGCCTTGTTTATTTACCAGCCTTGTTCCAAATGCTGCAGATCTTCAATCGATCGCTCTAACACCATTCCAATTATGATCTAGTTAAGGTGAAGGTCGATGATAGTCGATGATCTTCTCGTTTTTCAGCTTGTCAACTTCTTCTTCTTTAAGAGGTGTCGCCACCCTTAGCCAGGGGATACTGTACTGATCCAATAAATGAATAAACAGCGGACAGTTTCCAACCATTCGCAGAGTTTGTCTGTCGTAACTAATCTTTTTTCTTCGACAAAATTCAAGATTGAATATCATCGTAGTTTGTCTTGCTAGTATCTCTGCAAATCTCCGAAAATACATGGGGGCGTGGGCCCATACTTGTGCAGGAGGTGCTTTTTGCTCTCAACATCTGTGTTTTGGTGACCCTCAGGTCCTTTGATTACATACATTTCGTCCTAGAAAATCTGATTTTATCGGAGTCTTATACTTTTGAGAATATTTAATGTTGTTCATTCATTGTGTAAATTTGTATGTAATTGATCGATTTGAAAGATTTCAATTAAAAAAATTATCCCTGGCATCTGCGACTTGGTCCACATAGGAGTCATGAGAACCATACGGAAACAAATTGCGAAGGGCATGAACGGAACAAGGGTTTCATGACGTATAATTCTGTCCACGAGTTGTATAGCGACTAGCGTCCCCACACAAAGGCACATGATTTTATATCAGCTAATGGGTGTTGCGATGAAATTCCTTTTAATTCAGGATACACTTGAGGTATCCGATAACAATAACAAGTCCTACGTCGTGCATTTTCTAGAATCTGGATTGGTATGACGCAAGTATTAACTTGACATGAGGAATTGAGGACGGAAGGTGTAAGGATTAGGAGGGAGCAGTGAGAAGAGGGGTCAGGAGAACGACAGTGCTGCCATGGTGCCATCAGGATCCGGATATATGACAATAGTCCACAATCGCAATACGAGCGTTAGTTGGCATCATTCACACTATTACCAACGAAATAACTTTAACAATTTTGAAACAAAAAGTATTTAAAAGAAATAACTACAATTCAGGTTTCGACGAAGATGTTGTAACGCCACGAGCCTCAGACTTGGAAGCCGTTATAGGCCATTTCGGTGAGAAAAACATAATTTTCTTGTATCATCAACAGGAGGGAAATATTTAAAAACACACATACATAAAGGGGGGGGGGGGGGGGGGCAAAGGTCAGGATTCCGTAACCAAAGTTTGAAAATTCGATTTTTGGGGGCCACACCCAATCAACATTGAATTGCTTATACCCGTGTTTGCGAACATGTTAGAAACTCCGTTGTAACATATTCATGATATTGCATACAATAGGTCATTTAATCCGAGATATAATCTGAAAAGATGGCGCAAAGCGGATTTAAAATGACGGATTTAAATGAAGTTATCAAGCAATTTGTTTATCTCGTCAGAAAAATTGACGGCTCTCTGTACGATTCCCATAATGCGGATCTAGCCTCAGCCCTCAACCTATTCACCTGATCACACGTAATGAACAAACGTTTTATGCTGCATATCTCGCCTCTCGGTCATCTGAGAAACTATAACTCTCATTTTTGTTGACATACGTAATTTAAATGACCAAACACCATTCAATAACATTTGGCTCGATCCGACTATCCAAACTATATCATATAAATGCGAAAATGGACCTTCATTTGGAAAAATTAACAAGAATATTTACAATTTGACAAATTCCTTAAGGCCAACGTATGGGTACTGACTTTTCCCTCCCCCCCCCCCCCCCCCCCCCCCCTGTATATTTAACATACATATATTTATGTTTCAAGATTAGAGAAACTAATTTGCAAATTGCAATATAACTATATGTATGTAGAACTTAAACGAATATGGTACAATTATAAATCAGCTTGTCGCAAATTTTTTCCCAGACATTTTGCATTTTTCCCTAAGTAAATATTAAAGTCAATCAAATGAAATGGAAAGTCTATAGGAGGCTATCAGTCTATTTATACCCACACCGCTAGTTAAGTTCTATTCCGCTTAACACTATTATAACAATCCCAACTTAGTCGTATATAAATCAGTGGCCATGTTAAACTTTTACTAGATCGTTGTTTCATGTTAGCAATAGCGCACAGCACACACGTCCCTTTAGGCCTGTGCTCTGCCAATCATATGTTTTCAGCTATTACATTCCTTTAAATATAGAATTACATTGTTTTACCCTAATTTTCATCGTTATTAACGGCATAAATTAGAGATTTTGTTTGACTGAAAAATTTGACTGAAAATGTTTGATTTATCTCATTCAATTCGATAGTTATCAGTCATATAATATAAAATTTACACTTCAGTAACGTCGACTCCGAAACGAAGTCGCCCAGCGACGGGCTTCACAACTTCAGGTACAGGTGAGATGTAAGAATGTGATACTATTGTCTTTCATCTTCCAGTATATATACCTAAGAACACTTGGTCGGCTCACTCCCCTTGCATGCGTTTGGCACGTACGTCTCACATCACTTGATACGAGAACCCCCTTTAGCAAGAGCTCCCGTCCCTTATGTTATCTACGAATCGACCAGTCAGATCATGTTGACTTCTTAATGTACAGCTATACTATGATTTACAGAATTGACATGTGAACTCTACCCTATATCTAGCTCATTTCTGGGTCAATTAAATTCTACTGATGGACCACATACGTCACATCACTAATTATACGTAATATGATCTGACCCCTAATAATCGCCCCCCCCCCCCCCCCCCCCTTTGTCGGCCTCCCGCCCACAACCATTTACTTTTGGCCAAATTTTAAGAAAAACAAATAGAAGGTCTGATATTTAACTTTTTCCAGTTGATGAAGCAGAGGTGGGAGAGGAGCAAAAAAAAACATCAAAGGAACATATGGAAAATTATTATGTCAGACTTTTATCAAGACAACATATTGATATGACTGATATTTATGAGAGGCTAAAAAGCGAGAGTGGAACCCTCGAATCTGATACCCTTAACAGAAAAACTTGAATTTATTGTGGTAAAATTTTTGTATATTTGAGTGGTTTCCTGGTCGAGTGAAAGGAGTATAAGGTCATCCGCCCACTGGCCACAGTAGGTGGCTAACAGCCATATTTGAAAGTACGGGGCAATTTGGAAAATCTAGGAGGCAGGACATATCTCTGAGAAAAACTTTAAAAAGGTCAGGTGAGAGTGGGTGACCTTGTTCTGTACCTTTACGTATCTGAAAGCGTTTACTGAGATGACCTGATAATTTTATGTAAGCGTACGAGTTTGAGTACATATTTGAGTACATATTTTTGAGGAAATTGTAGAAGTTTCCAGTTATGCATTTTTTGCGAGTTTGAGGAAAAGGGCTTGACGGCAGACTGAGTCGAATGCTTTTTTTAAATCAACAAATACTGCATATATACAGGTTTCCCCAAAAGTTTATATTTTGAAGCTATAGTTTTCATGGTTAGTATGTGATCATATGTTTGAGCTTTCTTTGTGAAGCCTAGTTGGTTAGGTGGATCAGGGCAGTTTTCAGAGCGGAAGTGAATGAGTTGTTCTAAGAGAATAGTTGAGAAGAGTTTTCCTATGACACTGCTGACAGCAACTGCACGTTAGTTGTCAGGATCCGATTTATTACCCTTTTTATGAAGTGGAGATATAATGCTGACGTTCCAGGGGTAAATTCCTTGTGAGAAACAGCCGTTGAAGAGGTTCAACATAATCAATTTATGATTGGTGTACAGAGATTTTATAATTTCGTTGTTAATCATGTCGAGTGAGGAAGCTTTACCATTTTTGAGGGATTTTATACTAGAGTCAAGTTCTGTTGTGGTGATTAAGGTGTTGAGTGACTCAGGATGAGTTGCACCTTGATTTATCAAGTCAGCTTCATCAATCATAGAAACTTGTTTATTTTCATTTATTGTAACTTTGTGGTTATCAGAGTATCGGTTACCAATCATTTAAAAAAAATCATTTTTAAAATCATGGTATTTATTTTAAATACAAAAGCAAACTTCAATCGAAGTGCTATAAAAAATAGGTGCTCAATTAATAAAATTACCAACGATGAGATCTTTAAATTGATTTTACCTTAACACTGTAATCAACAGTCATCTAACCGTAAAGTTATACAGGGTCGGCACTGGAAATGGACCACATCGACTACGAATCCCAAAACGTGAGCTTTCCTCTTGATATCAGTATCCTTTCACCAATCACCATACCACCAAACTATCTTTTGTAGCTGAATAGCGGAAAGGAACAAAAGGATGAGGGTATCTGTTTGAGAATGCTTCAGTGTGCAGAGAGAATTTTATTTCAAAAGCAGGTTTGAAGTTGTGTTTGCGTGTCATTTGCTTCAGATTGAGCAGTGGAATTGAATAAAAGGATAGAGGTTAAAGGTCAAAAGGATCAGCTTACAGCCATGAACAAATAAGAAGCTTCATTCATGTATGTAAAATGTAAAATGTATGTTGCATCTGGAACATCCACTTCTGATACAGCAACAGGTTCTGCTTTTGTTTGCTCAGACGTAAAGGGCAGTACTGTATCTGACCTCAGATTGGGTACACAAAACCACCAATTCAACCATCTGTCGAATCATCATGTCGATTTCATCATCAAAGTTTTCATCATCAAAGTTTCATCAACATGCCTACATCACAAGCTGCACATAGCCATTACAAGTTTGCAATGTACGCACTCAAAAAGAAAACTATGTGAACATTAAATTGTTACAAACAAAAAGTTATCCATTTTATGTTGAACGAATTTCCGGCAGAATTACCAATAAACTGGCTGATATTGTAATTACAGTTTTAAATACGATTACCGAGTTTTGTCCCATTATCTGATATATTTAAACTCTACCATTGTTTTATATTAGTTGAGCATTTACAGCTGAATAGATCTTCACTTGAGCATCGCTTCTTTGTCTAAAGGTCAAACCAGAGTCGAAAATGAAAATTTGATACAGCAATTCTATTAAGAATACGTTGAGACGGAAATTTGCCTATATTTCCAGATATGACAACCGCTAATCTAACTCTGGACGAGGATAACTTATTCCGAGTTTACTTGAATGACATCCCCACAATGGAGGAAATTTGCGGGACAATAAACCGGGTGTTCATGGGCATGGAGACAAAGTAAGCGAATTGTCCTAACATGAGATCAGTTACTATCAAGCTGACTGTATCGTTGCTAAAATAAAATATTACTAATTACATTAGTAATTTTTGTCATGGCGAAATCTAGGAGGCCGGGGCTAATTATAAATTTTAACTACTTAATTGTTGTCTATTTCAGGTCAAGATCACACACGAAGAAAGTCCAGAAAGGGATAGCTGAAAAGCTAATCAACACTCCCAGTTGGATATGTATGTTGGCACACTGAATTGTACAATTAGAATGCTCAATTTAAAGCGTGAATTAATGTTGGAGGGCAATAACCGCTTGCACAACCAATCCGTGACCTATGCTTCAATATGTTTAAGAGATATTATCATCCTCTTTAAAGTTTAAATATGATGAATGCCAGCGTCTGCAATTTTATGTTTTATCGTCCGAAAGACAATTTACAATCACAGAATGTGAATCTTAAACAACTTCCTATCAGATGTCATGGAGGACTTGTCCCAAAGTGAGGACATCATCAATGAAACATCAATAGTAGTAGCACTAGTATTTAAAGTGCTGAAAGACCTCCAGAAAAAGAAAAAGGTTTGCGTTAACTCAGACTTTGGCGATCTAGCGTTTACAACGCCCATTATAAGGCACCCCCTCCTGTGTGCCAACCAGCAGAGCTTTTGTCGAGACCTTTTTCCATTATAAGCTTAATTTATTAAAAAATCTCTACGCTACACTCAATTGATTTTCTTATTCCACAGAAAGGGAGAAGTGGGTCCTCTTCGGACGAAAGAGGGCTGAGCAGTTGGGACTTCGAGTTCCTCCAAACCCTTGATTTACTGGTGGACGAGGAAGTTTTAGCAAGAGTAGACGAGGTACAATTGTGAATCTAGATTTATTCCGCGCAATGAAGTGATGCATAGTATATAATAACGTTAGCTTTAGAGATTCAAAAAATCCTTTTGAGAACAAAAGAGCTAACTAGATCGTAATTGATGGATTCATGCAAAAAAAAGATGGAGAAATGCTAAAAAAGTTGCGAATTGGTCTTTAAAATGATAATGCATACATTACGAGGCATATTTATATGGTACGGAGAAACTGTTTACAAGATGAAACCCAGATATTGGGTTTTTTGTCAAACGAGGGGATGATAAATTCCCCAAATACTATGATTTAATTATGGGTTCGAAATTTGGTGGATTTCGGGAAAACAATCCCCACATTTAGGTTCCGAAATCATTAAGATCATAAGAATTATGCCGAACATTATATTAAAAGATTAAATATGTCTCGTAAGGTATTGAAAAATTATAGGATATAATTAAAATCAGAGTTTAAATGATGCAATATTTTCAGGAAACTGCTTCCAGGACTCATGCGGTAACAGATGGGCCAGAGATATCAGAAACCATCAGAAGACTAAGAGGAAAAGAGGAAAAGAGGAAGAGAGGAAAGCGAAGAGAGGAAGAAGAAGAGGAGGATGAAAGGGTGGAAGAAGCCGGAGAAGATGAAGAAGGAGAGGAGGAAGAAGGATCAGAGGAAGATAAGGAGGAGGAAGGAGAGGAAGAAGAATCAGGAGAGGAGGAAGAAGGATCAGAGGAAGATAATGAGGAGGAAGGAGAGGAAGAAGAATCAGGAGAGGAGGAAGAAGGATCAGAGGAAGATAAGGAGGAGGAAGGAGAGGAAGAAGAAGAAGGAGAAGAGGAAGAAGGAGAAGAATACGAGGAGGAAGGAGATGAAGAAGAATCAGGAGAGGAGGAAGAGGACCAACCAGCTAAAGGTAATATGGGAAATTGGGCGATTAGGTTTGGCCTCTATATGGCCCTTACACGGCCACTATACGGCCTTTATATGTCCTTTATACGGCCTCTATACGGCCACTTATGGCCTTTACACGCCCACTATACGGCCTTTATACGAGCGGATCAACTAAGTCTTTTTCTGAAGGTTATGAGTTATTGCTTGTATTGACCGTTAAAAGTAAACGATATTTTAGGTTTTTTAACAGAAATATGTCATAAATAATTAACCACTTCTTTTTTAGGAAAGAAAAGAAAAACGTGTATAAACAGGGCAAAAGACTTTGGGAAAAAAATTAGTGAGTGCTCAGCTATGTGCTTGTAGCTAAGTTAAAGCAGAAAGTATACTATTTCTTATAACGGCTGGTTTGTTGTCAACATACGAGAAATAACGATCGCCAATTCATCCAATGAATTAATAATGAAAAAACGATGTAATATAACGCTATAGTTGTTCTACGTTAACCAATGTACTACGTCAACCATGTGTACTGTTCCGTTTTTCTTTCGAATTTAGATCGGTCCTCATTATCACACTTCCAGAACAAAGAAAATTGCACGTTGGAGGAGTGCGACAGCTCATGGTAACGACTTCGCAAGAAGTCCTTCGCATGAACCCAGTCCTCGGTAAGAATTAATACATATTATTGTATTTTTTATTGTCGGTGATATTATAATATTCTAATCATGGGTTCAACTTGTACGGGTTAATATAGCATTTTTGTGTTCCAAAACCCTAATAAAAATTTACCTCTCCTGACAAATTCCCCGCCTTCGAGTTTGGGGGGGGGGGGGGGGGGGGGGAGACTTGCCGGTTGCCGCCCTACAGCAAATCACGACAGATTTGCAGTAATTAGTGTCAAATTTGTTTTAATAACCATCCACCATGCCTAATCGAATAAACCCTACCTACTCGAATATTGATTTATGATTGTAAATGTTTAAATTACACCTTCTCTAAGTGCAAAAATGTGACCAAAGTTCACAGTAATATTTAAGAATAATTCAGTTTTTAGGCCGCGGCAGGGCGACAATTGACCACCCCCCCCCCCCCCCCCCTACAATTGACCCCCCCCCCCCCCCCCCCCACAATTGACCCCCGACAATTAACCCCCAGACAATCGTTATTTTCTAGAAATATTTTAGACAGAAACCTTTTTTTTTCACACAAAACTTTACCCAAATGCAAAAGTACCATCTTAAGGCCAGAGGGGGGGGGGGGGGGGGGGGGAGGAGGTAAGGGGTCAAAAACATCGACCAAAATATTATCATTGCTGCTATTCACATTTTGTAGCCGCTTAACTTTTTTTAATAATTGAGGTTAACCGATTTTCACAAAATTGACTAGACAACATTGAGGTTAATAAAATTGAGGTTTATATTTTATTACACTCCATAATATTTTGTTATTTCGGTCAGCAAATGTTAACTTAAATTTTAGGTTCATAATTATCAGAAAAAGTAATATCCAAACGTGATTAAATGATTAGATATAGCGAGAATAGATCAAATGATAGAGCTATTATTTTCATCGTTAGTTTACGATTGACTTTCTTTTATCTTGGGAAAATGAAAAAATGAGGTTAACCATCACATTTTGGTACCGTAGGGAATATACATACGATTCTTACTTATGTAATGTATCACAATATCGCAGTGAGTTATCTATTGGTATCACAATGCCTACAACTATAATCACGTGACAAAGGTGATTTGAACTGACCATATTTTAGTAGAAGATTTTATCCGTAAATGGCTAAAAAATGAGGTTAACCTCTCATTTTTTGAATATCTGACCAGTCAAATACATGTTAACCTCAAAAACTTAATCGTTACACTGTGGAAATGTTTCACTACATGTATAATAACATATTAATAAACCAATTTCAGTGTTATATGGTCTAAAGCGAGGTTAACAACCAATTTTTTACTACTTTTAAGCAGTAAGTGTTTACAGGAAGTCTTGGTTAACCTCACTTTTTACAATACAAGGAAATTAATTACCGAAAGTGACTAAAATCATTAAGGGATGGCTAGGTCTGATCAAGCAAATTTTGTTAAGTGTATAGAAATTCCTAACTAACGAACTGTGATACAGTCCAGTGAATATTCAAAATTTTGAAAACACTAAATTGCATCTATCTCAAAACACATTTTGTGACTTTCAGTTCCTTAGTTGAGAAAACCAGCCACCCCCTGATATTGAGATTTGGTACAGTGGTTCCTTGGACAAGTATCTAGATATTAGGTGCAGCTATTTTTTTTATTCGACAAGTTTCTCGAATTACCTTACTCGGGAATATTATAGCGGGTTAATTTATGAATGGGAAAATTAATGACCGGGAAAAATATGGCAGAATTTCCCAAAACCCGCCAAATTATCCCGGTCATGTATTTACCGGTGGCCGACCTTTCAAGTTTTTTTTTCAGAGGTCAACAAATTTTCAACCGAAATTTCTGTTTTTGTTACTTGTTAAAGAAGTTATTTCAATTTACAGTTATTGATATTACTCAGAAATAGAAAAAAAAGACACGTCTATTTAAAGGAAAATAAATCTAAGCAATAATAAGTCAAATCTTCATTAAAGCGTATTCTCATTCTCATTATCGCTAATGTCCCCTCCATTATCATTATTGATATCCCCCTGCTGCTGACCGTCAAATTCGAATTGTATTGTTGTCTTAACAAGACTTTCATTTTGTCCGCTAATGGGGCTACTGCTCTGAAGGTCAGCCGGAGCTTAATTTCCTGCCCACCGCTTGGTATTGGGGAACGTCTTGGCTTTGCATTTTCAACTGCTCCAGTAATCAATCCACCGTGGACCATGAAATAGTGGCACAGTTTACTCACTTCTAGCGGGATGTGGTCCACCCTGAAATCTGATCTCTATAACCAAATTGTGGTTTTTATACCGAAATTATGGTAGCAACCGCCAATAAAGTTACAGCCCTCCATCCACTGCTTCAAAAGTCTTCTCTAGCATATATGAGACTTCAGGTAAAATATGATGATCACCACCCCCTTGGAACCCCATTATCTGAGTCGGCGGGTTTTTTTATGACTGGTAAAATTTTTGACCGGGAAAAATATGGCAGAATCTTCCAAAACCCACCACTTTATCCCGGTTATAATATTCCCGAGTAAGGTATGAGGTTAACCAATTAAATTTTCCGAATTTTTGACATGGTTAACCTCATAATTCGAGAACAGAGTCAAATAAAAAAAATCGCTGCACCATATAAGAGGACAATTGTCCAAGGAACCACTGTACCAAACCTCAAGATCAGGGAGTGGCCGGTTTTCTCAACTAAGGAATCGAAAGGTCAAAAAATTGACAGCCGTTCAAAGATCCAGTTTAACATTTAATTACAGGTAAACCTCAAAATTTAGCGCGCGATAGCTCAGAAGCGCAAGGTCAGATTTTGATCCGGTTTTTTTCTTCTTGATCGTCTCCAGCAGCTATTATCAAATATATGTGAAAAGTAGAAAAGTGCCATTTACCCCCCCCCCCCCCCCCCCCCCCCCCCCCCCCCCCTCTGGCCTTAATGGAGCTACAGCGGCTGATTGATGTTAAGATTTTACTTCCATGAATACCCCCTGCCCCCTGACCCTAACTTGAAAGCGAAAACCAATATATGATATAATTTAATCCCCCCCCCCCCCATCCCTTTGTTCTGTGCTACCGATTAGAAGTATTTACATCAAATTATTCCATATTTGGGCGACAGTTCACGTTTGTAAAGGATAATGTAACACGCTATGGATTACACTGCCATTCCTTGCGGGCCTTTAGATGGCTTCTTGTTGCTGCTCTGTTAGTTTCTTTTTGAGGAATGTTCTGTTTTGTAAGTTGATGCGGCAATTTTTCTGCCCTGATTTTGTTGATATGCTATGTACTAAATTGAAGGTTGATAATGGTGTAAAGCTTCGTTTTAATAAATAATTCCATATGTAGTGACATTCTTAGTTAACATAGCTTAGGACTAGGTTAATTTCTACTCAAACTTATTTCAGACTGGTAATACTAGGATAATTTTAGGCTGCCCGGTGCTATTGTTTTTTCGTTCTAAGTAGACTAGCAGTACATTCGAACCACCTGACACTTCACATGATATTATGTATCAAATGTAAACAAACGGTATGTTATTACAGGTTATTATTCTAGGTGTTTCTTTGGGTACTATTACTACTCTGATGTTGCCAGGTTGGCTAAAGCCATGTAGTCCGATTGCAACATTCTAGACCGGTAATAAATGGTGCTGCCTCGGCTGTGTGGTATAATTATAACTTACAAAGTCACGTTGTTTCCATCTGAGGCCTGAGGGGTTTGCTTAACTAAATTTCATTTTCACCTATCAAAAATTGCTCACTCAAGCCCCGCTCCAACTTAATTTATAACTGGGAAAATTAATGACCGGGAAAAATATGGCGGAATTTTTCAAAACCCATCACTTTATCCCAGTCATAATATTCCCGAGTAAGGTATTACATTAAGCGTACATTAATTGATAAATTAATTTTAATTTTTCAAGTAAGAATGTGGGGGCGGGCAAATTCAGTTTACATACGTTGGGTCATATGATGCCACCGACGTGTTTCATGTTTCAAACTTGTTACGATGATTTCACCAAGAATATTCGATATTCATAGGCCACTCCAACCCAATCAACATTAAATTGCTAATAAGCTGACACCCGTGTTTGCGAATATTTTAAGATATTGATGTTCTGCTCGTATTTGGTGTTCGATCTTTGCATATAATATTATATATACGTACCGCGACAATTGACCCCCCCCCCCCCCCCCCCCGGCCCCACGAAATCTAGGGCTTAGTAGGACAATTAATCCCCCGACAAGGTTAGGGTAAGGGTTAGGCTTCCTTCACTGTATTAGTTTCAAAATTGTCTAAGAGACGTTAAATTATTTTTAATTTAATTCTATTCACATAGGAATCCATGAACTAGGTGGCTCTCTCCTCACCGTTAATTATTTAGAATGTCTTCGCACGTGGAGCGATTAGGTTTCTATAATTTTGAACTTTTCATTTTCTATCCTTAAAAATAGTCTATCCTTAAAAAAATTCACTTAAATATTAAATTCGTGATTAAACAGAGTCAAAGAAAACCTTTGCAACGAGTCCATCATGCACTTTTTATGCAGTGCTGAGGCCGATGGTAATCTTCCTTGAAGAGTCGCATATTCTCTTTATCGCACATTTAATAATACATTGATATTTCATTGGCATATTTTACAGAAGGAGCCGCTCAGCAGCTGCTGGATGAGATGAGGACGGAGAAGAAGAAAAAAGAAGATTTTCCTGTAATAAGGCTTCTTGCTAGAAATTTAGTCGACTTGGTCTACATCAAAGAGAAAGGTTTCTATTGAACTTTTAAATTCCTATTACCTACAATCAGCACGTTATGACCGAACCTATCATCAAACCTATGAACTGCTTCACATCTACACGTGCGTCGTGCAGTACATTTGATTTAGTAACTTTACAAATTCAATTAAATATACATAAAATGTTTTCATGATCACAAAGTATGAGCGAATCAATGTTTTTCATTTAATTCGCAATTCAGATCCACTACAGAGAGATTTAATGTTGATGAGGATTATGTTGAAGCACGGAGAAGAAATACAGGCACTAAGGTTGAATATTCTTCTTCCAAGCACAATCTCCGTACCTCCGTATAAATGTAGAATTTTCAAAAGTCAGATTTTAGATTTGAATTTGTCTTCATTGCTTTTTAAGTAAACCAAATTAAAACCCAGTGAAAAGAGGCAGAAAGAGGCAGAGGAGGCGCAAAAGAGAAGGGTGCCACGGGTAAGTCAGGTCTTTGTCATGTTTTAATAATCCTTGTGAAATGTATTTTTTTTAAATGCAATCTTGATTTTTTGTCTCCCAGTCCCAGTTGTTCCACAAATAATTTCATATTATACTTGAAAAGGAGTGGTATTGACAATGATACCATTCCTTAATATTTCAGATCAAACGTTTGCTATATCTGTAATCTGTATATATTATATATATATATTATATTTGTATATTGGATAAATTTTCGTGTTGTCATCGTAAATTTACAAAATTCTAAGCTGATGTCTGATATATGATAATATATATAGTAATACGCTACCCTCTAGAACTCAAATGGGTCACATGACGTAGATGAGTCCCAAGCATCGACATCCCAAACATCTGACAAAGCACTTCACCAACAAACAATCGACAGACTTGTTAAGGAGAATGCAGAACTGTTAAGGACAAGGGACGAGCAGATACAACAACTCAAAGGTAATTATGCTTTAAGTCACTCGATTAACGATTTTTGTGTCAAAGCATAACACATTGTAAATTAACCCAAGCGGCCATAAGTAATTTACAAGTGACACTTTCTAATAACACTTTGATTCGGGCTTCAGATGAGCTGTTGGTGACGAGATCTCAGCTTCACTCTTCAAGCACATCAACACCGCACCCGTAAGTTTTATTTAAATTTGATTTAATTTTGAGCAATCTTTTAGGGGTTTGGTACCAAAGGTAGTTAGCAGTGGCGTAACGTTGCCTGTTGGCGCCCCCGCCGAAAATGCCCCCCCCCCCCCCCCCTGTTGCCAATATTACCATATTGGCATATTAGCCGGTGGGACCATCAATGTCACTTTAGCAGAGGGGATATTAGGATTGTAATTAACGTGGGGTTTGTCGCTGCACCATCCGCTATGATAGGTTGGGGGAGAGTGAAAATAGAGGAGTAGTTCTCCTCCATACTGTTCCGCAGCAGATTAAAATGTCAACATCTACCGGCGGTGCTACCGCCTACTTGCGCCCGACTGGCAGCGGTATTCGTGCTCTATAGAAAACTCTATAGAAAACTTTTAAAATGGGCAATTTCCTTACAACGACGTATTATATGCTATTTTTTATAATCCAATATTCTATTACTTCACACCTTGTAACGTACCATTCTCATCAGCACCAGAGGTCCCCATGAAGATACCATTCTCATCAGCACCAGAGGTCCCCATGAAGATGGTAACCAAGACGATAAAGATGTAATTGTTGTTGGGCTCTTAAATTGAACCCCTTTGTCAGCGACAACATTCGGCATGGTACACGGACTGAACATAATATGTGGGAGCGCCATAGACAGTATTTAGTTATCACCTGCATTCCTCTGGTATCAACGGACTGGATCTAAGATTAGGGCCCTCTGCACAAGTTTTAACGATAGGTAATGATGGTGATGTAATAAGGTCCACCTTATCAGTAACCCGTCTGGACTCCATTAACCCCGTAGCAAGACGTACCACTAATTTTTCTGCCGGCATTGCTATTAGGTTTTTAAACACTTATAGAGTTATTACTGTCGGAAGCGACCAACGACTCTTAATCCTAGACCTAGATTCAACTGCAGTGTACAGTTGCTATGTGGACGTGCCAGATCCCCATGATCTGGTCCTCTCATATGCAACTAGTCGTGGAGATATTGCTGTCCTGGTGTGTGGTAAAGGGTATCAAGAGTTTACCACGTCTGGTCCCGGCCCCTCCTGCTCGTTTAGTGAATTTGTCGCTATTTATAGAGAGTGATACAGATAAGATTGCGGTGCTGATAGTTCATGTTCTGAAATAGCATCTGCAAAACGGGCTAACTTATATTTGGTCTGGAGATGTGATCGGAATTATATCTGCTACCTCATGTGCTTTTAGAGTTTTTATTCATTTCTATTTTTAGTCATTTTGATGAAGTCAGATATAAATTCGTTTTTTGTATTTCATTTCTTTTATTTAAACGCATTGCTTATTAGGGTGTGGCGTAACGTTGCAAAATGAATACACGATGCCCATTAGCATTGCCCGCACACATCATAATCGAATTTGTTAATTTGAACTGTCATGGTTTGCTCATCTAATCATTTGCCTTACGAGACCTAGCCTGTCGCCTGAGCGATGTTATTACTTATTAATTTGATGTCTATTTCTTTATCAGTTGCTAGATATGATGTAGGCACTTCTCCTAACATATCTTCCTTCTACCTAGCATGAAGCTCGTTAAGTCGTTAGGACTGTGCGGAACCACTGGAAGAAGTCGATATTTCTCAGTTTAGTAGCTGCTGGGGGAGGACTCTACGGCTACAACCGGTACAAGGATAATCTCTTACTTAAAGAGTATTGTCTGAAAGTGCAAAACCACAGTGCAGAGAAGGTGTCTACAGATCACAAGATCAAAGACGTTGTCGTCTTCTTCAACCCTTCTTCAATCTTCAGGTGGTGGTAAGGCTTCTAAAACGTTCAAGAAGTTAGCTGTGCCCATGTTGAGCTGCAGTGGTATAAACTTTGTGATCGTGCCCACCTCCTACGAGGGGCATGTTAGCTATAGAAAAAGTTTAAAATGGGCAATTTCCTTACAACGACGTATTATATGCTATTTTTTATAATCCAATATTCTATTACTTCACACCTTGTAACGTACCATTCTCATCAGCACCAGAGGTCCCCACAATGAAGATGGTAACGACCAAGATGATCAAGGTGTCATTTTTGTTGGGCGCTTTTAATGCTGCTCTTACTATGAAGAGGTTGGTTTAGTCATGTACCGACTGTGGTTGATGCTAGACATAATGTGGTGAGTTAACCCTAAGATTAACAACAGATGTAGTTTAAATTAGTTTCCATTCCAATTGTGATTCCATTAAAAACATTGCTATTACAAGATTGATTCTTATCTTATCCCGAACTTAGATATGGGAAATTATTTCATGTTTGGCAATCTTATCGCCTTTTTATCGGTCGAAGTTAGAGTAAGTAAAATAAGTACAAGTAAGTAGTTCAACATGGTTACTATGCAGTATGCAACTTCCTATTTCTCATATAATTTTCACGTAGGCGGATAGACAAAAAGGATTTAGTAAGCCGGCTCCCCTGTTCACTTAATCTCCAGTTTGGGCTGTGGAAAGAAATCAAGACATGTTAACCACATTCCTGACTGCCACAAACAATTTGACTATCGAGGTTATGATCTGGAAACACATGATTGAAGGAAACTGGACGAACGTTCCATCATATGGCTACCGTACTCTTTACTATAGTGTGGCAAATCCAGAGAACGATGTCATGTTTACAAGTCTTGTCGTCCAGCGTGTAAAAGAATCAGATGTAACACAGCACCGTGCAGTGATAGTCATTGATGATAAGCAGCAAACTTCCGACATGATACCAGTGACATTATCTCCAACTGATATTTTTAAATTATTCAGTTTAACTGTGATAAAAGCCTTTTCATTTTCAAACAAAAAAGAATATGAAACACTAATGCAAAGTTACTGAGTATAAATCAGCCGACAGGTGCTGAAAATTAAATATATAATGCCTACTGGTGAGACCAGCAGGCATAATGTCGATCTGAGGGGCTAACCCTCACCAGGTCGTGATTAACTCCAGAAAATCCGCGGCTCAATTCCCCAACTCCATAATTGCGCGGCTTTTATGTTACTTATATATGTAAATATACGTTTCAGCACTGTGTTACGAGGCAGTAGACCCCCCAGCGCATTTTCTGGAGTTGATTGTCGCGCGCATTTTCTGGAGTTGGGTTACATCTTGGTGACAGGTACAAATACTCCTTTTTTGAGAGGTCCTCCTTGCCGTTTACTGTTGCAGTCGCTGAACCTGATCTGAGAGCAGGTGTTCATTAGTGACCAGCGTGTGGTTTAAAGAACATATACGCTACCCACAATTAAAGTATTAGTACAGGAGGGGATTAGTATACGTACTTGGAGCTTATAAAATAGCTATTTTTAATATTTAGAACTTGTTATTTTACAGGCGATATCCTGCAATTAGGTCAATTAAGTCGATAAATGTGCGAGATGGAGAACTTTTTAAAAATTAATCTTTTTATACAATCTATGTTGCACGGAAACTAGAATCTATTCGTAAGTTACCTAAAAAATGTAACAACTTCTTTGAACAATATCCCATCACTATTGACAGTCGTATTTTCCACTTTTGTCTGAATCTCGCTAATACCCTGGAAAAATCACTGGTTAATAATAATATTAATAATATAACAATTAATCAATGCTATGTACCAACATTCATAATAGTACGAACCTTAGTAAGCAAAATTTTGAATCTTCAAACATAGCTTTCATCGTCATCTATCTAAAATATTTAAGTCAGTCACTTTGTCGAATATGACAATCCTTATCTACAGACGGATAAGTAAAGATGAATCTATGACCTAGAGGATACGTACAGTTGCAAACTCCACGTTGGTAGTGGAAGGTTTGTACTCTGACCAAGTAGAGAAAGTAACCACAGCCCCGTCAGAAGGTGTTATCATAATCCACTCAACGTCCAAGGTTAGTGTTATCAAATTCAGATTGCTACTAGGTGTCTTTATTGCATGTCCTGGAGATAAAAATCCGAATTAATGAGTTTCTTAACATAAACTGATTCCTTGGACACCCAATATTCCATGTTTCGTACAACTACATAAATCGTGATTGCCCCACTCAAGAGAGCAAAAACACACAGTTACTAAAAAGCTGTAGGATTAAACCAACAATATGAGCAAACCTGTACTGTACATAGCTTTGCACTGAAGGTTTCCTACGGCAGCCTGGGAATGAGTGAAGGAGATTATCGACGTAACATCCGTTGCTGTCCTAACTTTCTTCGCCAGAGCGAACTTCACTATCTCATTGTCCTTGTTGAGTGTCACTCCTTCCTCACTGATAGTCTTACCGTCTAGCTGCCACCTTGATAAGATGAGGTTAGTGAGTTACACAAAGATGACTTTGTGTATTTGCTGTGTTTAATGTTCAACAATATGGAGTGTAGTCAATAGTTACAATATATTTAGGCTGACATAAAGAAAACGTACTGTATGTAGGAGAGGTTAGAATATGTAAGACCGTTTGAGACTGTACAAGTAACTGCAGACGTAGTCCCAGCGGTCCCCCAAACAGAGTTAGGAGTCTGTGTGCCACTTGCACTGACCTCCTCAACAGTCAACTTGTCATAGCTCTGCATTGTTCCATCTGATGATAATCAACAAATTAAATTCCCACTTACTTATGCATCCAGATTTCTTAATAAAATGTGATCAAATTTATCAAATATAAAACATTCCGCTTATCATTTTCCACTTCCAGTTCCATGCTTTAAATTTTAAATATCCAATAAAATGAACCAACCACCGCTTTTTTTGGAGAATGAACAACCCCAGACGCCATCAGTAGAATTATCAATGGTCAGTGTCAACGTCGACGTTAAGCCTGTGTTCACTGGGTTCCTGAAATACTATTCGTTTAAAAATACTCTCTATTTCACATTGAAACTAACAAAATTACAAAATTGTTGACTGTTTTCATTTTCCAATGTTTCCTTTTAAAATTTTGGTGTAACATTATTGTTTTATTTCATACCTGCAGGCACGAGTTTTACATTTCTTCCCGTCAATATTCCAAGAGAAGACTCCTTCGCTAAAGACAGTAGAAAAATATCGACAGGTCAAAGTAAGATCCGTTCCGGTAAAAACACGACATCCTCCATTTGGTTGTAAAGATAAATCTATGGTATTTGGATGGGCTTGCAGAAACAATTAAAAATTAAGATTTTTCAAACTCGACATGGAAAATTTATTTATCTTCCATGTACTTACTACTTGTACTTGAAAAGGTCTCCTCCTAGTCGTTGGAGTGGCCTGCACCACATAGTAACTCCTTTCTCCGGTGTATTAGACCTCTCCAGTGAACCCTGTCTGTAGCTTGTTGTTCTGCATCTTCTATCGTGATGTTATCGACACCTGTGAAGACTGCTGCATCCTCCCGGACACATGACAACCAGTTTTTCCGAGGTCTACCTCTTGACCTTTTACCATGCTTTGGGATCCAGTGCAGAAGATAGTTGGGTATTCTTTCTTCTGGCATCCTCACCACATGGCCAAACCATCGGAGTCTAGCTGCTCGTACGAAAGTATCAACAGGGGCGATGTTAGCCCGCTTAAGTACATCAGCATTAGATACATGATAAAACCATTTGATTTTCAGGATTCTCCTCAGACATCTATGATGGAACACCTCAAATCTTTTCATCTGCGTCTGTGTGGTATTCCATACCTCACTTCCATAAAGCAGTATAGTGAGCACAGCCGCTTTGTAAATCCTGATTTTAGTTGGAGTCTTAATGCTGCGACTGTACCATATACTGCTAAGCTGATAGAATGCCCCAGAGGCCTTTTGAATTCGAGCTGATAGTTCTTTGTCAATTGTTCCATTCGCACTGATGATTGCACCCAAGTAAGTGAAATTGCTGACCTGCTGTATTGGGAGACCTTCCACATTGATGTCCATAGTGTCGTCTTCAGAATACGGCCTCTGCGATGCACTTTTGCTGACAACCATGCTCTGTGTTTTGCCAGCATTAATCTTCAGACCCGCATAGGCACTGTATTTGCAGAGAAGGTCAGTGGTTTCCTGCAGCCCCTCTTTTGAGTTATCTAACATGGCCATGTCATCAGCGTAATCAGTGTCCAAGAGATGTTTCTCTTCTACCCCGGGGGCTGGCAGCTGTAATAAAGCCCCCTTGCTAATGACTTTGTTTAGTTCCATAAGGTATGCCGAAAAATTCAAACAAAAGTTGAAGACTGGTGGTCCCTGTATATCACCTTGCCCAGTTCCCGAGTTGACATCAAACCAACCTGTAACCTCTCCATTGACCCTAACAGCACTAACTGTGTGAGTGAAGAACGCCTTCATAATTCTAATGTACTTGTCAGGTAAGCCGTAGTGCTGCATACTTCTCCAAATGAACTGCCTGTCAATCGAATCAAAAGCTGCTTTGAAATCAACAAAATTAATAT